TTCAATGCAACTTACAAAATAACTTTTGCACTTCAAATATTTTATTATGTTGGTTCTACATTCACACAGGGAAAGAAAATGACCAGCTTCACCACGAGTATGATCATCAGGGACAGATATTCACCACATGCCCACTTCTGAGGCAGTATGTTGGTGGTGTGAAGTTCAAAAAGTATTAGGAAGTGGCCACTGCTCTTTGGGATCTTAAAAACCTATTGGGGGCTGGGCGCGGTGGCTCACGCCTCTAATCCTAGCACTCTGGGAGGCCGAGGTGGAGGATGGCTCATGGTCAGGAGTTTGAAACCATCCTGAGCGAGACCCGTCTCTACTCAAATAGAAAGAAATTAATTGACCAACTAAAAATATATATACAAAAAATTAGCCGGGCATGGTGGCACATGCCTATAGTCCCAGCTACTCGGGAGGCTGAGGCAGTAGGATCGCTTGAGCCCAGGAGATTGAGGTTGCTGTGAGCTAGGCTGACGCCACGGCACTCACACTAGCCTGGGCAACAAAGTGAGACTCTGTCTCAAAAAAACAAAAAACCATTGGGGAGATAAGCAATATACACATGGAAAAATAGCCATAATGTCTGTCTGGTAAGAAAATAATGCATCTAAATGAATGACACACACAGAGTGCTCTTCTCTCAAAAAGCATCATTTGGATCTCTGTACAAATGTCCCCTTATCAGAAGGATCCACCCTGACACCACATGTGGAGTAGCTCTGACTTCCCTCTCTTTAATCTCTACCCTCTTCCCCTGGCTGTTTTCCTTAGCACTACAAGACACGGTTTGTTCGAGTGTCTCCCCTACTCCATGACAGCAGGTATCTTGTTTTGTTCATTTTACGGACACAGTGTCCCTCTCATAGGAGTTCAGTAAGTATTAGCTGAATGAATGAATGAATAGTTCTGAGAAAAGAGAATCCTTCTATCTGGAGTAGTTAGAGAAGATGCTGGAACTAGAACTTGAGTTATGCCATGGTTAAAATGCTGAATTCAGTGGCAAGTGCAAAGGTCATTTTAAATCATTATTCTCAAAGGCAAAGTGTTGAGAAAGCAGAAAGCATTTTAGAGAACAGAGATCAGAAGAATCAGATTAGAATAAAAGGACCCTAAAATGAGAGAGTGATGAGAGTAGGGTCAGACTGAGGAGTACCTTCTTCCATGCGAGGTTAAAGAACTGAGTCAGTATCCTAAAGGCAAGGAGTGTCAGCAGGGTTTTTCTGCTAGGGCAGTGGTTCTCAGACTCACAGCATCAATTTCTCCTGGCAACATGTTAGAGATAAAATTCTCAGGCTCCACCTCAGACCCAATGACTCAGATGCTAGGGGTGGAACTGCGCATTTAAATTTTAGTAAGTCTTCCAGGTGACTCTGACAATAAAATTGGAGAACGACTCACTGCACTAGGATACGGCCAAATAAAAAAAGTTAACATTTTATGAAGATTATTCTTGCAATAGTACAGAACAGGTAAGGGAGAAATGGAAACAAAGGCTCAAATAGTGCATGATGGACTCCAAGTGCTTGGAGTGTCTAGGACTCGCCTCCCCATCTTGTGGGATATAAATCTCTCCCTTCTTATGGAGGAACTGACCATTACCACCTCATATCCCCAGCACAAGTGGAGGCACTGATCACAGAATACCCCTCACTTTCTACCCATGCCAACCACAATAATTTCCTAGGGGTGGGGACCAGGCTTAAACTGGGCCAATCTCAATACCCTCCACCCAACCTGGCCATAGTGACTGGCTCAAGAGTGGGCAAAATGTTCTTCCCTGGGATTTTCTCAACTGGAGCTGGGAGAAAGCTCTTTCCTCTCTGATGGCAAAGCTGAGATGTGAGCTCAGAGCTGCCAACAGTCATATCCCTCACCATTAGAGGAAGCCAATCTGTAACAGGAGAATGATGTCAACATGCAGAGAAAAACAGACAAGAGAATGTTGATGGTATTCAAGTCTCTGGTTCCAGTCCCTGAGATGCCAAGGTTGCTTTGATTTTCTTCCCCAAATGTGGTTGTAACAATCCCTTTATTTCTGGTAGGTATCCAAGATTCTTCAATACTGCTCCTATTTCCTTAAGCACTCAAGGCAGATTTACACCATTTGCCACAGAGGAGTCTTCACAATAGAGGAACTTCAGTAATAACTAGTGTGAGCACTTAGCACTTAGTAGGTGATCCAAACGAAGCAAGAGAGGAGGGGAAGAAATGGAGGGAGGGAGAACCAGAGTTAGGGCGGTGGCAGCAACAAGGAGGGGACAGAGAAGAGGTCCTGTGAGGTAAGTAGGAACTGACTTATTAGAGGTAATTCGGGGTAAAGAAGAAGTAAAAGACTCTGGGTCTCAGATGTCAAGTCCAGGGGATTGTGAAAATGGTCTTACTCTGAAGTGAAACAGGGCTGTCAGGAGGAGCTGGTGTAGGGAAGGGGAAGAGATGAATCATGTTTACACACCTCAGAGCTGTGAGGGTCCCCGAAGGGCAGAAATCGAGACTGCTCAATTATGCCCAGTCTTCTTCCAACTATCCTAGTCAGACTCCTAAGTGGTGTACGTGGAACACAGCAGGTAGGACTCAATGAATGTTAGTTCAACGATTCAAGAAGAATGGCTGGCCAAATCTGGACTCTTAGGGAATCCAGATTTGGCCAAAACTGGCTACAACTAGCAGAAAGGTAAAGAACTAAAGGATACAGAGTTGGTGTGATTAGAGAAGACAATTAACCTAATAATTTACATTATATCATACTTACATTTATAAAATATTTACATTTTATAAACATAACATTTTAAGATGAAAGTATTGGTTAGCCTGTCAATGTAAAAAATCAACTAAAGAGGATAACAGAGAAAAGGCTGAATTTGGCAGTTAGGTTGTACCTTTGGGCCCATCTTTTTGAGAGGAAAAGGCTGAGAAGCTAAAGAATTAATAATTAAGTATGAAGGAATTACTAAATCATTAATTCAAACCTCTGAACACCTACGATGTGCCAGGTACTATATGTGTTGGTTAGTTACAAAACTACTATTCCATGAGGTTTATCTGTGAAAGGACAGAAACATAATAGTAGCTATTGGGTACTGCAGAATCAAGGGGTTTCTTAAGTATATGGGAGACCTAAGCATTGTTTATAGGGGAGCCTGAGGAAATGGAAGGAAAGAAAGGTGACAAGTAAGAGATAAGCTCAGGAGATGATGATATCAAAGTGAAGGGATTCAATTTAGAAAAAGGGAAAGAAGCAAATATATAGAAGGTGAGTGAGCCATAGAGGGAGAGCGTCCTGATCATGCCAGGCTGCCTGCTATGCAGTGAAGGGAAGTTGAGTCATGTAGGATTGCATGTGAAATGAGGAACTTAATGTCACCACCACTACCCACATGTTCAACCAACTTTTTAAATAGTAGTTATTCAAAATTATTAATTTGTTTAAGTATCTAAAATTCTCACTCTTCTAGTGCTGTATATATATAATATATACATATATAAAAGACTTCACTATGGACATGGCTCACCAACCTTGTGACAGATTCTAGGATAGACTTGACTTTAGACAGTCCTTCTTTACCAAAATACACCACTGTGAGATGAATCCTCTTGTCCTGATGAATACAAACATCCCTAACAGAATTGAGAAATAAAGTTTGTTCAAGAAAATACATGACACTACTCATTCAAAAACCAATCAAATGAAATTTTAACAACAACAACAACAACAAAATGAGGCATTACTGACACAGAATGAAGTCACATGAAGTAAACATAGGAGTGGCAACATTTCTGAATTCCTGAAGGCAGCAGCAAAGGCACAAAGTCTATGCCTGAATGAGCACACTCCTTGGAGGGTCATGGAAGCAGTTCAACATTGTTGCCATATTTCAAAACATTTTTGGAACATTTGGGTTGAGATTGCTCTCAGATGCAAATTATTAATACAAGATCTTCAAGGAAATAAATTCAATCAGTTCATAGCCAAATAAACAACATTCAAGTTTTGGATCAAGAGTTATTTTTGTCCTCAGATTGGCTAATTCCAAAAATTATACCTACCATTAAGGAATCAGTTCATAGCCAAATAAACAATATTCAAGTTTTGGATCAAGAGTTATTTTGTCCTCAGACTGGCTAATTCCAAAAATTATACCTACCATTAAGGAATAAATATTAGCCATGACTGAGATTACTTACTGTAAAGAATAATGCGCCTCTGAAGGCAATTCCAAGGAAGGCAATTTAAAAAAATGCTTTAGAAAATAATCTCAAATGAACTATTACAACAGTTAAACTCATTTGGAAGTATGACTGTGAACTAATTTCAATATGAGAATAAAGAATAGAATCATAAAGCATTAAAACTAGTATATTAAAGTATTAAAAACATTAAAAATATTAAAGGATTAAAAACATGGTATTAAAAATATTAAAGTATTTAAAAATTTAATTATTAAATTAAGAAAGTAATATTTTCCTCAAATAGTTATTCTAATGTGTAGTTATTACCTCTTTAACATTTCAACATTTTAAATTATCGAAATTTAACATAAAAAAGAAAAACTTTATACTTTCTCTGCTTCCCAAGATAGAATAACTTTTTCTCATCTTTAGTTGAATGTCTGTATTTCTAAATTTATTTCAATTTTAAAACTCAAATCATTCTCAAGGGGACTTCCTTGGGAGATAGCAATGTTCTATATCTTGATTGGGGTAGTGGTTTGTGAGTGTATGCATTTGCCAAAAGTCATGAAACCTATATCCTTAAAATATGTAGATATTATTGTATGTAAATTATTCCTCAACAATGTTGATTTTTAAGAATTCAATCTGTACTAAAATGAATTCACACATAATTATAAGGGCAATCAAATTTAGTTTCTAGGCCGGGCGCGGTGGCTCACGCCTGTAATCCTAGCACTCTGGGAGGCTGAGGCGGGCGGATTGCTTGAGGTTGGGAGTTCGAAACCATCCTGAGCGAGACCCCGTCTCTACTAAAAATAGAAAGAAATTAATTGACCAACTAAAAATATATATACAAAAAATTAGCCGGGCATGGTGGTGCATGCCTGTAGTCCCAGCTACTTGGGAGGCTGAGGCAGGAGGATCGCTTGAGCCCAGGAGTTTGAGGTTGCTGTGAGCTAGGCTGACGCCACGGCACTCACTCTAGCCTGGGCAACAAAGTGAGACTGTCTCAAAAAAAAAAAAAAAAAAAAAAAAAATTTAGTTTCTAGTAGCTGTCACTCTCAATTTATTTCACAGTTCAAATTATCAATAACACAATATACTACACATACTTAAAGAAAAAAGAGAATATAAAAAAATAAAGTTTCCCTAAAGCCTATAAAATTATCCCAAAATGCTAAGTAATTATACCGAGTGGAGATAAAGTAATTCTGCATTGTTTTAGGAGCATGTAGCCAAATCATTAAGCCCTGACAGTTACCTGAAGTTCTGCATAAACTGTGCAAACGCTTCCGTTCTTTCAGCAAGTGGCACAATTATATTAATAATTGATCTAGTAATGTCAATCATTTCGCTCTTCACTTTCATGAGAGGTCCAAAAGGGCGGAAGAGGGTCACATGCCTATATTCCATAAGGTCTGCTTTCTTAAAAAAGAGTTCATACTGTGTGCCCTTATCTCTCTCGGTGCGATAATAACCTGAAGAAAAGAGTTAGGAACAAAGATGTCTCCATGTCAATGTTTACAAATTCAATGCGAAGATGGATTTTACTGAAAGATCAAAAGTATTAAACCAGACATGTAGGGTTTTTACCTATTTGTGAAAATATTTATTACCACTGCACAGTCAGTAACAACTATCCTTTAAAAGAAAAGGAGAGGTTAAAAAAAAACCTGTTCACTGCTCTGCTACATTATTCAATTCATAAAATATGTTCCAAATGACAATTATTTCTTTCTACATATGACTTTTTAAAATACTAGAGCATATCAACACAGTAACCATATGACAAAGAAATTACTTCTAGCAACATTAAATTATGGACTAAAGAGTCAAAACTTCTATTGTTCAGTTCAGGTCAACAAAAACAAATCTAGTGCCTTCGTAACAGTCACTGGTGATATAAAGAGGGCCACATGGTCCCAGGAAGGGCTAGTCTACTGAGGGTGACAGAAAAATAATAACAGTATAGTTATACACACATACACACACACACACACACACACGTATATATGTTTTTACTGAATAGATATAGATTTAAACACAGTGATTTGAGACACCTTTGTGAGAAAAGAATGGAAGTCTACCAGGCAATTTGATTTTTAAGTGTCACACTTAGGAGAGAGATGGTTAGACCTATAGATGTGTAAGTCACTCAGTTAATATCTGGGTATAAATGGTGAACAAGATAGACTTGGTTCCAACTCACCTGAGGTTTATAGTCTAACAGGAACTACAAATGAGGAAGTGGGCAACACCACATACTGTGACAAGTGCTATGGGTGTACAGGTAGGTGACAAGAGCTATCTCAGACTTGAGGTTGGAGATGACTTCTCAGAAGAAGTTATATTGAGCTAAAGTCTAGAAGAGGAATAGTAATTACTCAGTTGTTGTTAGCAATCATTTTGGGAGAGGGAAGGCAGTAGCACAGCAGAGGAAAAGTGAAGGACTGAGTTTGTCCCATGCAGAGAAAAATCCTGACAGTAACAGAATTCAAGAGAGTTATAAGATAAGCAGAAGCTGCAGATATAAAACTGGCATAGATCCACTTCTTTTTAGGCAGAGCAAATTTTGACCACATTTTATATGTTACTTTGTCATCTTATTTCCTCTGTAGTTTTCAATTCTGCCACAAACTATAAACAGAGTAAGAAGACAAAAAGCTGAACTGGTAGAAAAATGAGAAGTTTTGAGAAAAACAATCCTTCAAAAATGGCAGGAAGTGACAGCAGAAAAAAGAACAGGTCGCAGGAAAAAGACAGCTGAAATGCCACAACAAGCACAATGCCCTCCCTGATGGCCTCCCAAGGCCTCAATGCATATACTATGGCACAGCAAATGATAGCCATGATGATTAGGGGTCAAAAAACCTACGTGTGGTTTACTGTTTATAGAATCATGCAAAGAGAATTCTTAAGAAAGATTTATATCCAAAATGGTTTTAAGACTGCATTAAATATCCAGCAGGAGGTGTTAAAATGGAGATGAGTAGGGATCTATAATTATTCCTGTTTTTATATATCAACAAATATTATCTTAAATTTATAGCAGTGTTCCTTGACCTCTGAGTCATGTCTCATCTTGATATATAAAAATCCCATACACTTTCTGCATTCTGTACTAGAAAAATAGGGTTTTTTTCTTACTTTTCCAAATGTCAAAAATGCTTTTTAAAACCATGTATGCCTCCTTGATGTTTGGACATATACTTCTCCTTCCGCTAAAATGGAAAATAACTAGTAGGCTACTAAATTAGTTTTTTTCTTTCCTCTATCAAATTTTGAACCTTAGTTCATACATTTTTAAAAACATAAAAAAGGAACATCAAGACAAAAGAGGAATGCAAATCATACACACATGCAAAGACATACACAACCCACAAGAGCCCTTCAACCTTAGTAGTTAGTATTCTTCTATATAAGATGAGATTTATTCTATTTCCCTGGTCCTTATTCTCTATTTTTATTATGATCTCATTATAACTTTTTCCAGAAAGTCGCTTAAAATTCTTGGCAGAATGAAATGGTTAAAAACTTAAATGTTTTAATACAGTGGCTAATGACTGACTTATATTACCATGATACAATATTAGCATTTTGTCTTACTAACATAACTATTGGCCAACATATTTTTCACATTACCTTCTACGAAGTCATTTTCATTAAATATCAGTTTCTCTCCAAGGGGACCCTCCTCATTGTCCTGTTCATCATCTTCATCAGGATTATTAATGACCTCCAAGCCGGCTTCAATAACTTCTACCAATTCATCTCGTTTGTCTTTTCTAACTGGCTTTTCTTCAGGATGGCGAGTGAGACCCATTTCCAACTGAAACACTTTCATTAAGGTAAAACTTTCAAAGGGAATAACCCCATACTCACTGGGTAGTTTGGCTCCTATGCTAACTTCAGCTTTGTCAATTTGGGAATGAAGAAACTCTAAAAGATCACTAGGTGCTTGCTCTTTGTTGCCTTGATAGCCTATGCCATTAGCCCCTACATTCTTTCTCTCTTGCAATGATCTCATCTTCTCGCTCATTTCTTGTAATTCTTGTTTTAGTTGGGCAATTTGGCGTTTCAGACTGGTTGCCCTCGTTTGATAATGTTCTTCTTGCTCTTGTAGGAGGGCTTGATAATACTCTTTACCATAACTTTCCCCAACAACACCAGGAAGAGATGCATTCCCATCAGTCTGGGGGGCACACTCCAGAAGGTACATAAATAGTATCAAAGTGCAGAGCAAAGCAAGGCCCAACAGCAGCCAGTGGGTCCGGGTCTGAAGAATCAATCCTCTTCTAGGCATTCTTATTAATGTGTACTTGCCTATGAAGATAAACTCTTTGCTTGTTCATACTATTAGCAAAAAGTTAGCAAAAATTAAAAACAAAATCGGAATTTCCATAAAAGGTACCAAATGAATCCTGCAGTAGCTTAAAAAATTTCTTTCTTCAGCAGTCATGACTACTTGCAGAAATGAGAAATTAAGTATACTTTCTGTATTGTGACCATGATATACAGAATAAAGAAATCTGATCTATAAAATCCATTATATGAGTGGTGATTTTTCTGAAAGAAACAGATCAGAATCAATCAGAATTTTGTTTCCTTAAGTGTATGTATAAAATTGTTTGCAGCTTCAGTAAACTTACCATGTGACTACTACATGTAGAGAACCATAAGAGGTGCTAATATAATTTAGAATATTCAGTAAATACTGGAGAATTTTTAAAAATACATTATAAAACACTAAAATATTATGTATAATACTTTTAACTAGTATGTCTACACACTGATAACCTCAATCAAAGAAACATTAAATTATGTTCAGCATAGTTTGTGTTACATAGATTCTACTGTTTTCTAATTGTTTGAAAATTATATTGCTTGTAACTCTTTATTAACATAATATTTCAATTGATGCACTATTTCCCAACTAAAGCATATGACTATTTGGGAACTGAGCTTCTATAAATTGCTTCTGTTATATAGTAATAATGGTTTACTGGAGAGAAATATTTTCTTCTAGTTTATTCAATTCAGGCATTCTACCTCATGAATTTCAATTTCTTTTTTTTTTTTTTTTTTTTTTTTTGAGACAGAGTCTTGCTTTCTTGCCTAGGCCAGAGTGCCATGGTGTCAGCTAGCTCATAGCAACCTCAAACTCCTGGGCTCAAGCCATCCTCCTGCCTCAGCCTCCTGAGTAGCTGGGACTACAGGCATGCGCCACCATGCCCGGCTGATTTTTATATTATATATATTAGTTGGCCAATTAATTTCTTTCTATTTTTATGGTAGAGACGGGGTCTCGCTCAGGCTGGTTTTGAACTTCTGACCTTGAGCAATCCGCCCGCCTCAGCCTCCCAGAGTGCTAGGATTACAGGCGTGAGCCACCGCGCCCGGCATGAATTTCAATTTCTATTGCTCAACTCAGCCATTCTAGAAGCCTTAAAATTAAGTGGGGGGAAAAACAATTTCAAAAGGTCACAGACATCTGGAAAACACATTAAGAAAACATTTTTATATCCAAAGTCCTCCAGTACATTATTTGCACATTAGGTCACATAATTCTTTCCACTGTATTATACATCAACAGATTTCCTACAAACCTTTTATATAGACCTTTGGGGTCTATATTAAAAAAAACATGAACATATTAATCATGTTTATCTTTAGAGAAAAATTCAAAATTCAAAAAACATTTATAAATTTATAAAATTACATGCTATCTTTCATTCTACAACCAACTGTGTGAGTTTTTCTGTGTCTCTAAACTGAGGATTCTTAACTCTAGAAATAGAGAAGGTTAAACTTAGGAGAGGGAAGGCAGGGAGGCCTCCATTGCAAAAAGAAGTTCCATTCTTTATGGTTGTTGAGAAAGACAATATGATATGACAGCAGGTTTTCAATAGTAATGTGTTTTTTTTTTTGGCACAGCAGAATCTATGAAAGATCACTAGGGAATATCAATCCCAGCCACCTTCTTAGTAATTAGGAAAGCCTGGATGTCTTCCATGGAAAATGCTGCAGTGTTTTTTTTTGTTTTGTTTTTTTGTGTTTTTTTTGTGGCACATGTCTGTATAAAATGAAGGACAGATTCAAACTTCTTTATAGTAGACCACAAATAGTAGACTAAACTCCCCTTAGCTATTTATTACTTTAGTAAACCAAATGATAACCAAGTATCTTGAAAAATTTAATTTACTACAAGGGAGTCTTTTACTATGACAACATCTGTCTTACTAATTATACATTTTGTTTAAGTGATGTAGGAAAAAATTTTAGTTTAAGAAATACTATCTAATTAAAAATAAGAATGCAAAGCTAATATTATTTCCAGGACTTAACCATGCCTCAAAACCATAATCCTTAGCATAAGAAACAACTTGAATTTCATCATTTAAAAGATAAACTTAGAGGCATCTCTTTTAATTATTTATAAGTTGTTACTAGCCCACTTATTAGAGAAAAGAAAGGCTAGAACTGAAAATGCAGACATAATATTGTATAAATTATTAATAAAGATCTACTTAACCATACTAAAACTGTCTTGAAGTGAAATGTAATAACAGAACTAACAGTAAGTAATCTAAGTACCACTATCTTTTATTACTATGGTAGCTCATATATGGTTTTCTTTATATAAATTAATTATACACACACACACACACACACACACACATATATATAGAGAGAGAGACAGGGTCTTACTCTGTTGCCCTGGCTGGTGCACAGTCGTGCTAATGTAGCTCACTGCAACCCCAACCTCCTGGGCTGAAGTGATCCTCCTCCCTTAGCCTTCAGAGTAGCTAAGACTACGGCCATAGGCTCTGGCGCCCAGCTAATTTTTTATTTTTGTAAAGATGGAGGTCTTGCCGAAATACCTTTCACAATAGAAACAAAGAAAATAAAATACTTAGGAATATATTTAACTAAGGAGGTGAAAGACCTCTATAGGGAGAACTACAAAACACTGAGGAAAGAAATTGCAGAGGATGTAAACAGATGGAAAAACATATCATGCTCATGGATATGCAGAATCAACATTGTTAAAATGTCTATACTACCCAAAGTGATTTACAGATTCAATGCAATCCCCATTAACATACATACCATCATTATTTTTTAGTAGACCTCAAAAAAATAGTTCTACGCTTCGTATGGACCCAGAAAAGACCTGAATAGCTAATGCAATCTTATGTAATAAGAACAAATCAGGAGGCATCACTTTACCAGACTTCAGGCTATACTACAAGGTTATAATAACCAAAACAGCATGATATTGGCACAAGAACAGAGACATGGATCTATGGATCACTGGCATAAGAACAGAGACATGGATCTATGGATCAGAACCATCCTCATATAGCCATCTTATCTTTTTTTTTTTTAAACAGAGTCTCGCTCTGTTGCCTGGGCTAGAGTGCCATGGCATCAGCCTAGCTCACAGCAACCTCAAACTCCTGGGCTCAAGCAATCCTTCTGCCTCAGTCTTTCGAGTAGCTGGGACTATAGGCATGCGCCACTATGCCTGGCTAATTTTTTCTATATATTTTTAGTTGTCCAGCTAATTTCTTTCTATTTTTAGTAGAGATGGAATCTCACTCTTGCTCAGGCTGCTCTTGAACTCCTGACCTTGAGTGATCCTCCAACCTGGCCTCCCAGAGTGCTATAATTATAGGCATGAGCCACCACGCCTGGCCTAGCCAGCTATCTTTGACAAAGCAAACAAAAACATACACTGGGGTAAAGAAACCCTAGTCAATAAATGGTGTTGGAAAAATTGGATAGCCATAGGCAGAAGGCTGAAACAGGATCCAAACCTCTCACAAAAATTAATTCATGATGAATAACAGACTTAAACCCAAGGCATGAAACTGTAAGAATTCTAGAAGAAAATGTTGCAAAAACTATACTTATAGATATTGGCCTAGACAAAGAATTCATGAAGAAGACCTCAAAAGCAATCACAGCAACAAGAATACATAAATGGGACCTGATCAAATTAAAACCTTCTGCACAGCCAAGGACACAATCAATACAGCAAATAGACAACCTACAGAATGGGAGAAAATATTTGTATGCTATACATCCAATAAACAGCTGATAACCAGAAACTGTTTACAAAGAACTCAAGCAAATCAGCATGAAAAAAATCAAACGACCCTATTAAAAAGTGGGCAAAAAGACATGAATAGAAATTTTTCAAAAGAAGATAGAATAATGGCCAACAAACACATGAAAAAATGCTCAATGTCTTTAATCATCAAGGAAATGCAAATCAAAACCACAATGAGATATCACCTAACTCCAGTAAGAATGGCTTTTATTAAAAAATTCCAAAACAGCAGATGCTGGTGAGGATGCTGAGAGAAAGGTACACTTATACACTGTTGGTGGGACTGTAAACTAGTACAAACCTCTATGGAAAGTAGTATGGCGATACCTCAAAGAACTTAAACTAGACCTACCATTTGATCCAGCAATCCCACTATTAGGTATTTATACAAAGGAAATAAAGACATTTTATAAAAAAGATACTTGTACTCCAATGTTTATAGTACCACAAGTCACAATTACAAAGATGTGGAATCAAACCAGATGCCCATCGACACATTAGTGGATTGATAAAATGTGAGATACACACACACACACACACACACACATATATATATACACACATACATGCTATAGAGCACTACTCAGCCATAAAAAAAATGGTGATCTAGTATTTTCTGTAATAACCTGGATGCAACTGGGGGCCATTCTTCTTAGTGAAGCATCACAAGAATGGAAAAACAAACACATGTACTCAATACTAAATTAGAACTAATCAATCAACACTTATATGCACATCTGTAAGTAAAACTGAAGGGAAATCAGGTAAGTGGGAGGGGACAGGAGGGGATGGGTAAATTCACACCTAACAGGTACAATGCACACTAACTGAGCGAAGGGTACAGTTATAACTTTTACTCAAACTGTACAAAAGCAAATTATGTAACCAAAACATGTGTACCTCTATAAAATTCTGAAATATACTTAATTAAAAATATGGGAGTCTTGCTATGTTGCCCATGCTGGTCTCAAACTTTTAGTTTCAAGCCATCTTTCCCCTCAGCCTCCCAGTACTGGGATTACAGGCATGAGCCACTGTGCCCAGCTGATAAGGTATTTTAAACTATGAAATATGATTCATAAATGAGTCACTACTAAAAGGTTTACTTTTCAATGAAATAGAAAATAACAATATCAATTAGCCCAGAGCCCAACCAACCTTCTAAACATAAATGCGGATTTAGTTAAGTGTTTTGAGGACAGAAAGGGATAATGTGAAAATGAGCTGTTAAAAGTTATATAATACAAAATCAAAGATCTCAGACATGAAAGAAATCTTAGAAGCCATCAATTCTAACTCTGTAAAACAGACTAAAATGACATCCTCTTATACCCAAGATGGACTAACAGAGGCCAGGTTTACTCGCATGCTTGAAACAACATAAAAACAAATACCCTCCCTGCCAAAACGCTAAAATATGAAACAACAGTTTTTTCAAGATACTCAACAT